CCCACCCTGCAGATATTTATAAACATTTCTAAGGTCCCCTCGCAGCCTTCTCTTCTCCAGGCTGAACAAGCCTAGCTCCCTCAGCATCCCCTCATAGGAGAGATGTTCCAGTCCCCTCACCATCCTCGTAGCCCTGAAGGCTGCTTTTCTTACAACTTTACGGAGCGGCTTTGCTTTTTCCTGTGCGGTTTGAGTCTCCTAACGGACGCTCTGCAAATGAAGAAGGACGAGAGCCCGTGAGCAGTGTGGGCAGCGGTGCTGCTGTGGGTCAGCAAGGTGCGAGGGCTGTGCCGGCGCACGGGTCTGGGTGTCGCGCCCCGCAGCCGACACGCACCATGTTTGGCTGCTGCTGTGTGGCACTGTGAACGCCCTGGCCTTGAACTTGCCATCCCTGCGTGTCCTTCTGCTGTTTCAGTGTCTTCCCAAGGGAGCTCAAAGAAGTTTTTGCCTCATGGAGACAAGAATGCAGCAACCGAGGCCGCCCGGACATCAGCGAGCGCCTGATCAGTGCCTCCCTCTTCCTGCGGTTCCTCTGCCCTGCCATCATGTCCCCCAGCCTCTTCGGCCTCGTCCAAGAGTACCCGAGTGAGGCCACCGCCCGTACCCTCACCCTTGTGGCCAAGGTCATCCAGAACCTGGCCAACTTCACCACGTATGTCATGGCAGGGCACGGCACCGGTACCGGTGGGGAGGGACATCCCCATGGGGAAGCCACGGGGTGGTGGGGACATCCCCTACATGCTGTGTGGCATGTGCCATGGACAGGCACAGGGCAGTAGGGTTGCCCCCAACACATCGTGGAGCATGTCCTACATGCCATGAACCAGCCATGGGGCAGCAGAGAACACCTCCACTCCATGCGTGGGGCTGATGCCGCAGCCGAGTCTCGTGTGTCACCTGTGGTGGCCTGACCTGGGATGGGAATGGGCACCAGGAAGGAGCTGGGGACAAGCTTGGGGACAGAAATGGAGGACAGGAATGGGGCTGGGCACCACCCCTGAGATGGACATGAGGATGGGCACTAGGAAGGAGCTGGGGACAAGCTTGGGGACAGAAATGGAAGATAGGAACGGGGACGGGCACCACCCCTGAGAGGGACATGGGGATGGGCATCAGCAGGGACATGGGAACAAGCTCAGGGACAGGTTCTTGGCTTGGTCCAAGAACGTGGCAGTGTCCTCACCCACATCCTGGCCTGTGGACAGGGTGGTGACATGGAGCAGGGACATTGCAATGACTTGGTCCGTGATCCTGGAGGTGGCCTGGCCCATGACCAAGGTGGTGGCCCAGGCCATCGCCTGGCCCTCAGGTAACCGGACATCGTGGTCTCCAGGTTTGGCGAGAAGGAGGCCTACATGGGCTTCATGAATGAGTTCTTGGAGCACAACTGGAGCACCATGACGACCTTCCTGCAGAGTGTGGCCAACCCCGAGAGCAGCGTCCACATGGCCACCTACGACGGCTACGTGGACCTGGCCCTGGAACTTGCCACTCTCCACCTCCTGCTTTGTGACATCTTCTCCAGCCTGGACCAGGTGCCACCACCTGTTTGTCCCCAGGGGTAGCTGGCAAGACTGGCCACCTCCTTCTCTCCACACACAGAGCTGCTGTCCACTGCCCCATGGATGGCACCTACCCCAAGGCTGCCCAGTGTCCCCATAACATCCTTGTCTTGTCCTGGCAGGCCACGCAGGAGGAGCTGGAGCCCCTTCCCACCATCCTCACCGCCATCAGGGAGGGGACCCCTGTCCCCGTCTCCGTCCGGCTCAGCTCCACCACAGAGCGAAGGTACCGGTGGGTGAACAGGGACACACATGGGATCAAGGTGGACACGTGGGGCCAGGAGGAGCTTTGGTAGAGGGGTGACACTAGGATGGGTTTGGGGCGGTTCTGGTCCTGGCTGGGTTCAGGGGATGGTTCTGGTCCAGAATGGGCTTGGAATCACTGGTCCCAGCTGGGTTCAGGGGATGGTTTTGGTTTCTGGGTCTAGCAGATGGCTGTGGTCCAGGCAGGGGATGGTTCTGGTCCCAGTTCAGGGGATGGTTCTGGTCTGGACTGGATTTGGTGAACACTTCCGGTCCAGACTGGGTCCAGGAGCTGGTTCTGGTCCCAGATGGATTTAAGGGGGGTTTCTGGTCCTGGCCACGTTCAGGCTGGTTCTGGTCCTCCCTGGGTTTGGGGTGACTCTCGTTCTAGCTGGGCTTGAGGTCGTTCAGGTCAAGGCTGGTTCTGAGGATGGTTCTGGTCCCAGTTGGGTTTGGTGGATGTTTCTGGTCCCAGATGGGTTTGGAGGATGATTCTGGTTCCAGTTGGATTGGGAGGATGTTTCCGGTTCCAGCTGGGTTTGTGGGATGTCTCTGGTCCTGGCTGGGTTTGGAGGATGTTTGGAGGATGGTTCTGGTCCCAGATGGATTTGGGAGATGTTTCTGGTCCCAGTTGGGTTTGGAGGATGGTTCTGGTCCCAGATGGATTTGGGAGATGTTTCTGGTCCCAGTTGGGTTTGGAGGATGGTTCTGGTCCCAGATGGATTTGGGGGATGTTTCTGGTC